TGGGTTATGGAAACCCCCTGGGTGACCTTGGACAGATCACACACTCTCGGCCTCTGAGGAAGTTGACAATGGCAAACCACCTCTGAATCAATCTGGCCAAAATGGCTCAGAATAGAGGGCAATTCTTGATGGAAGAATAATCTGTTTTTGTATTGCTCAGGATGCCAAAGGATCTTGTAGCACTGAGAGTGATGGTGGGAAAGAAGTTGTAGCATGAGCATTCGTAGACTTGATCTCCTTCCTGCATGCGTCAAATTCTGCCATTTTCACACTTTCGGGGGCCAAAAATTGGCCAGTCTTCACAACTGGACACGACATCCAGATTTCTTCTAGGCATGGCATCCAGATTTCCTTGGCATTTTACTTTTCTTTTCCTTTTAAGGCATCCCCATTTTAGAATCTCTGACATGTATATCATCCGTATTATCTTGCCATACTGAAAATATCATGTGTTTTCTTTTAAATCAAAGCTATTTTCATTGCAATGGAGACCTCGTCTTTGATGATGCACGCTTTCCGCTTTCCATCCCAAAAAAAGAACCCACATTTGTGGACATGGGTGCCTGAAGGGACCGCTGAAGTCCAGGGCACCCATGTAAACTCTGGGTTGATCTTAGGGTCCCTCTGTTTATATCTCCCCAGAGACAGCGTGGCCTAGTAGTTGAAGTGTTGGACTGTGACTCTGGAGACCAGGGTTCGAATCCTGGCTCTGCCATGTAAACCCACTGGGTGAGCTTGGCCAAGTCACGCTCTCTCAGCCTCCGAGGATGGCAAGGGCAAACCCCCTCGGGACCAATCTTGCCAAGAAAACCCCTTAAATAGGCTCACCTTTGGATCAACCATAAGTTAGAAATGACCTGAAGGCTCACAACAAGAAGATAGTATAGCACTGTGAGCCAGTGTGGCATAAGGGTTGGAGTGTTGGACTAGGACTCTGGAGGCCGGGGTTCGAATCCCGGCTCGGCCATGGAAGAGGAAGGAAGGGCAACAAGAGAGATGCGAAGACACACAGTCGGTGACATTAAACAGGGTTTGTTGTCGCTCAACATCGAAACAGATCAGGTATGGCAGAGTGGCTTCAGTCTTGCTCTGAGCGATGAAACCCGCTGGGTGATCTTGGGCAAGTCACGCTCTCTCAGCCTCGGAGGATGCCAAGGGCAAACCCCCTCTGAAGAAGCTTGCCAAGAAAACCCCAGGCTAGGTTGCCGTAAGTTGGAAAGCACATGACGGCACACAAAGCAGCTTACCGTACAATTAAAAAAAAAAAACTACAAAGGTGAAGCATTAAAATAGAATCAAATGATTGCAATATTTTACCTAAATAAATTATGCAATTAAAAAAAAATTATATGTTAAAAAAATGCAGAAAGAGAGCCAGTGTGGTGTAGCGGTTTGAGTGAGCACTGGACTATGACTCTGGAGACGAGCGTCTGAATCCTGGCTCGGCCGTGGAAAACCACCGGGTGACCTTGGGCAGGTCACACTCTCTCAGCCTCAGAGGATGGTCATGGCAAACCCCCTCTGAAGAAACTTGCCCCCCAAAAACAGCAACAACAAAACCCAGCCTAGGTTGCCGTAAGTTGGAAAGGCCTTGGCGGCACACAGCCCCAAGCCCTGGGCCAGGCCTGGGGTCTCAGGACCTCCATGGTCCACGCTCTCTCTCTCTCTTTCTCCTGTTGCACCTGTTGGCCGGCCAGGGACCCCTCTCTTGGCCTGAGAGCCCCCCCCAAAAGCCCGGCCATTGTCTCTGGCCTTCTGGCCTCCTTTGACAAGGCAGACGCTCCCCTTCCCAGAGACATTTCATGCTCCAGCAGGCAGCTGGCGGGTGCCTGAGCATGATGCGCTGGCATGCGCCTGGGCATCTGGGGAAGAGGCATTTAGCATGACAAAGCCCCAGGGCCTGTGAACCTCTTGCTCTCCAGACCTCTCTCCCCCTGGGAATGGGAAACCCCTTTGGAGAAGGGGGGGG